AGACGATCGTAAAACTTGGTCAGGTAAACTGCGCGGTTCGTTTGAAAATGTACTACAACGATTGGACGGACAGGAGCCAGTTATATAGGTTAGTTAAGATGAGCCGTGTATCTTTTGTTCCATGCTTGATTTTTCGGCACTAAATTCTCTACAAGGTGGTCCTCATTCGTTAATTAACCAGCTTCTGATTTTCTCTCAGGAATTTCTCTAATTTCGAAGGCTGTTCCCAACATGTTGCTGCTGGTGAATGATTTCATTGAGAAAAGAGAAAGGCAGCCTCCATACGTTTCCGTGATGTGAAAAAGGACATCAGCTAATAACATACATCTATCTGTATTTATGTACATGTATCAAAGACACATTTAATGTGAATACCTATACCGCGTCACAGGTTTCCCTGGGGACGTTTTATCGCTTTTCCATTACGCAAGACGAGACAAACAAGCAACTAAGGAAACCGATCAACGACCGGAACCATTCGTAACGCTTGTGACGTGTGTGTCTACTTTTTTTTTACTGCCTCTTCCCCGAACGGAAACCAGGAGTTAAAACTTGTCTAAACAACATTGCGAAAGTTTGTAAAACCACGTAAATCCCAGTATCGATTTATAGCGAAATAAATTTTGCCTGATGGCTGCTGTGAAATGCTCATTTTGCAATGGTTTGAGATCCGGAAGTCAATAGGTTGCAAAATATTAGAGTTGTTGATACATTATTGCTCGAGAGCTAAATGTAATAATGATCAGTTGAGTGCTAATGAAACATTAAATTGATTTCTCGCATCCTGTGTACTAGTTGGTTTTATCCAATGATCCCATACTACACACCTGTTTTCTTCCTGTCGACATTACGCGTTACACTTACATCAGAAAAATCGCAACACCTTTTTGGATTCTTGATCAACAACTACACTTCTTTCTTGCTGCTGTCAATGCATTAATGTGTCATATTGGCATCAAGAACATGTTGTAAGCTGTTGAATATAAACATAAAGATAGCCTACTTTGATGCTGAGCTGGTATTAAATTATCATTGAGTTAAGATCATTAGCATTATATTAATGAATGTGAAGAAAATAATCATTGAACCTTTGAAGATTAATGAGGAAGAGCAGAAACTCTGTCGTATTAAATTCTTGAATTATTTTACCTGGATGTGGATAATATGTTTTTATCAAATGTTAATGTTTCTTGGTTTATGGTAAACTGTTGTCCTAATTTACAATTACAATTCCAGCGACTATTTTTATAGCTATAAAAATGGTTTTAGTTCATTAAAATTTTTTTCAAATAAATTCCTCCATTACTTTCATTTATTATTTTATTAGAAATCATCTTTAATTATTAAACTTCATAGTTGATAATAATTTTAGCTATCCATCATGATTTTATTATTTATTATTTCTTCATTTATTTTTAACTTTATAACTTTTAATTCTGTTGAATGTTTTAAAATCAATGTATCCATGTATTAATCTCTCTCTTTTTTTAATATAATTTTTTTTTACTTCATTGCTTTATTCTTGTTTACAATGTCTTTCTTTAACATCCTTTCGATTTACTCTTATTAAAATTTTTTACATCAATTTTATTTGTTTAATTACAAATCCAGTCTGTTGTTCAAATTTACACAATAAAAGCAATCATTCAAATTATTCAAAAAAAGTTCTTTTTATTTTCTTATTTCAATTATTATTATTGCTATAATTAAAGTTAATATTCATGAAGCTAAAAAAAAATTAAAATAAACCAAGTCTTTGTTTAAAAAGGTCCTCTTTTACTTCAAGTTATGACAATGTTTTTAGTAACTCACTGAAAGTTAGTATTTTTGATAAACGTAACAAAAAATGTTAAAAAGTTTTTAAATTTCTTGTAAAATGACTCCATAAGAAAAACTGTAAATTTTTTCAAAGCTTCTCGAGATTTCTTTCATTTTTTCTCCTCCCATAAAGCTGAGTAATGAAGTTAAGTACTATCTGAGTGTCGATTTTTTTAAAGCCACAAGCGTAATCTTTTTCTGTTTGACACAGTGGGGTTTTAGTTTACTGACAGCACTTTTCTCTCAGTGATTCTTACTTTTTGAATGTTCTCTGGTGTGTTATACAGCCGTTTCTATCCTGATCCGTCGACATTTCTCTTGGTTTCTCGCATTGGAAGCCGGCTCGCGAACACTGTCGACAACGATCGCCTCGACAAGACATTCGTCACATGTCACAAGTGACGATGGTATGAAAAAGAAAAAAAAAATAAGCTAAAAAATACCGCTAAAGGCTATATAAACAGAGTAATAATTTAACAAACAGTAGCTGTGTCAGAAAAATGCATTCTAATGGAAAATACACGTTGATGAAAGCTCTATAATTAAATGTGAAAATTATTAACGAAACAGAGTATCTCTTGGAGGCATAAAATTTTTCCTCAAGTCGCAGAGAGTTCACGGACACGACGGCGGCCAGTCGGCAGTCGAGAGAGCGGCGACACAAGTTTACTTTTATTTAAATGTTTCTTCCTTTTATTTAGGGCCTGACCCAACGCTCGGTTTTGCCTCTTTGCCACGCGGTGACCGGTGTCTCTCTTTCTCTTTCTCCCTCGGGGACCTGGGAATTAATAGCCGAGCGTATTCCGGCGGTGTCGGGCGAATACACGAGCGCGCTTACTCGTACACGGTGCGGAACGTTAAAAACTCGCGGGACGATCAACCCGTTTTCTCACGACTGCCGCCGCGCCTTTTTCTCTTCTCTCCTCTCATTTACCTCCAATTTCCTATCTCACTCTCTCTTTCTCCACTTGCAACCCAAGAAGAAGAGTTTAAGCACCACACTTTTGCGTGCTTTATTGCTTGACTCGAAAAGTTCGCCTCTGACCGCGCGCAAAGAATTATTCACGGCTACAGATAAAAGCATATGTATATAGTCCCTTTCATACCGTATTCAAGATACTTAAAATTTAATCCGTTATTTATCCACTTAATTATCTAATAATTCACCAGACCATTATCATTTTTATACTCGCGACTTTTTTTTTTTTCAAATCACTCGGATATTAAATTACTCTCAATCAAAATGTCAGATATAATTTAATAACCTCGTATGGATATTATTTATTGTTTATAGTTGGAACTGGTTTGCAAGTATAGATGACGTTTACAAGAGGTTTCAACGATTCACTCGTTTTATTTTACAGAATAATTCCATTTTTATCAGTACTCATATTATTTTTGTCAACATTTTTTCAATAATTAAAAAAAAACAATTAAAAAATTCCAATTTAAAAAAAAATCAATAAATTGTGTTTGATGAAAAAAGAGTTATAAAATTGAGAGGCTCTGAAAAATATTTAAAACATTGAAACAATTATTTGTATGTAAAAAAAATACCTCTCAACAATTGGAAATAAATATCTATATTAAAAAAAAACAATTTGTTAATATTGTGATAAAAGAAACTGAAATAGTAATTAAATTATATATATATATATTAAATGAAAAAAGTAATTGACAAATATTGCTTTTAAATGAAAAAATCAAAACATAATGTGAATAAATGAGTTGTTAAATAAAAATTTACAAACTTAATTAATAAAAAAATAATACAACTTGTAATGAATAAAATACCATTGACAATTTGATATTAATGAAAAATAGGTGTAAACCTCATACACACTACCAGAAAACGATACCATTAATTATTCAAGAACTTAACATATATACCCCATCTTGCTCCGAATTCCTCAACGACTCTAAATTGAAACATAAAACATAGAAAAGAATGTTTAGACTTGGTAAGATTAATGATTTGAGTGTGGAATTTTACATTACACTAAATATTAATCGTTAGTTAAAGATGCATCAAAATTGATAAGTAAAGATTACACGAGAACGATATAAACTCGTATCAGCAAGTTATTTATATATAACGAATAATAATTAGACCATTTGAATATTCACACCTTTAATCTCATCAACGTGGTAGGTACAAACACAAGAATATCAACCATTTGGTAATATATGATAGCATAAAGGAGAAAATATGTTGTTGAAAATCAACAAAATGAGTAAATTTTTCAAAAAGGAATAGAATTATTTGAAGAAGAAGAGAAAAAACAAATGAAGAGTAAAGAAGACACCGGTGTAACGGCAAAACAGCATTCGACACCCCGTCGCGCGTAGATGGTTATGCACGTAGACCAGGAGCACGCTTGACCTCCCGCCAGACATATTAAAATGACACACGGGCGAAAACTCGAAGAAGAAGCACAGAAGAAAAAAAAAAAGAGTTGAGGATCCAGGGAGAGACTATTTCAGGAGTAGACGTGGAGAGCATTGGAATCCCCCGACGGTAGAGAGGTTCACGCCGGTTTCTTGCAGATGGAATGTTTGTAAACACATTTTATTGAAGAGTCTAGCACCGTAGGAAGTTAATGGATACTTAATCTTGAGTGATTTCGTGATTTTACAAGGAGAAACAAATCTTTTTATACGGCAGATATATAATAATAAGCGTGAAAGCTTTGAATTAAATTTGTTTGTTCGCTAAATGAAAACCTGTCAGCTTCGTTTACACAGCAAATCATCAAAAAGTATATGATTAAATTCTCAGCATGGTAATCCGCTAGTTATACCTGTGCGGAAGGGTCCAACACCGCCTTTGTGCTTCATTATTCACTCCAGAGGTGTTAATCCGATTAGCTACGCCCAGCTCATAAGGACACATTTGTCCTGAGGATTATACACTCATGGAACCTGTTCTCTCATCACCCCTAACTAGACTTCTAGTCTCCTGCCGAGATATACTCCTGGACTCGCTTTATCAATTATGCAGCATAAGCCAGATCACTTGGAGATCAATTTGAATGACACGGCGCTAACGAAAAGCTTTTAGTTGATGATATACTGAAGTTAATTCTCCAAGATCATTAAAAACTTGTTCTCTTAGATACATTTATCAACAGATAACAGTGTGTTTATGGTTATTGTTATGGTGGTAGATAAGATGTACTCACCCGGTCATATTGATGAGTTGCAGTAGCTGCTGAGAAGGGTTGAAAAGGTGCGGGTCTCGCGGGGCTGTGGTGAGCAGCATGAGGATTGGTGTGAGCATGAGGATGCGGCGCCGCATGAGGGTGACTCGGGTGCGGGGGCGGCGGTGGCCTCTGATAAAGATAAGGATAATATTGATACATCACCTCGGAACAGCTCATCACACCCCCCGGACCCGGCACCCCAGAGCCGGCCTGCCGACTTGCGTACCCGAACGTTGCACTCGCGTAATCCGCACCCTTTACCTCCTCCACGCTCGTATTTTTTTTCCCACTAGGTTATTTCTTATAGCGGTCCCCAAGTACTTCAACCACACAGCATTTTTATCCTTCACGGTCGAAAGGCCGCCAAGGAATCACCAGCAATACGACACATGGAGATCCTGATATTTCACAGTTTGTATTTTAATTGGATTACACTTATTTAGCAACAAGTCAGACACTATTAATGGTCGTAGACAATAAAACACTGATAATGCACTGGTTATATCACAAGTTTCAGATCCGTGCTCGTGCCGTCGGTTCAGACAGTAGTCTACTAATTCTTGTTGAACTCACTTGCAGTTTGATCCTCTTTCCCTCCTCTAATCTTCACTATTCTCACTTGAGTCACACACTACCAAATGATTATCACCAATGAAATACTTGTAACCCTGGAAAACAATCCTAGCAAGTGGAGGTAAATGACAACAATCCCTTGAGCATCAATTAAATGAATGACAGGTCGTTGTTTTGGAAACAAAATTTCTCGGCACCGGAACCCCTAGGGACTACATCCAGGGATAGACCTGCGGTATAGCGTCTCTGATGGTGAGCAAACACAGACTGAAGCGAGGGCCCGTGTCACCCTCTTACACCGCCACGAGTCTTTTTCTAGTTGCCTTTCCCTTGAGTCTTTTTAGTTGGCTGCCCCCGACGAGGGTCGAGGACCGCCCGATCACCCCGGTCCCGATGATGGGATACGCCTCCTGGCAGTACCAACCACAACCAATCGTAGCCAGCCTTGGTTCCGTCCAATGAGACAACGGGTGCCACTCCTACGCTCCCGTTTGTATTGATCCTACAATGAACCCCGACTAGCGCGGTATTAACAAGTTCCTTGTCGGGTTAAACTATCCACCATCTCCTGAGTCTTCTTTGCCTTCTATCTTGCTCCTGTTCTTTCGCGTTCTACGGTCGCACTTTCAAACACCACAACTTGTAGAACTTGTTCATGCTTCGATCGTCTTCTTGTTCTCTTCTCTTTCTCTTCTTTCTTGCCTATACTGAACCCACCAACAACCTCTGCATAGACCAGGCGTACAATGAGTCTTAATTAACAGTTTCGCGGTGTTTCGGGAAGCTTAATTTTCTCGAGATACTTTGCAACGAAACGATCTTCAGGAATTCCCGGATCTTGGTGATTTTTCTTACATTCTTTTTTCCTCTGGTGAAATTGCCAAGTTTGCTGCTAGCTTTATTAGTGACATTCCTGGAACATTGACACAATTATATTGTTAACGTTTATATAAAATAAAAGTATGAACAAAAAGTATGTTTCAAGGTAGTAAGGAAAATTACTCTTTATTATTTACTGACACTGGTATTTCTTTCAATGATGAACACTTGACCGTATCAAAATGGCTTTCTAACGTAGCCGGTGTTTAATCCAATGTGTAATCTAGCAGGTCCCGGTTTTGTGGGGTGTCAAGCAAAATCCAATAAAACCCCGTGGACAAGCGTGACATTGCACTCTGATAGTTTTTTACGCGATCTATTCGACATCCCATTCACCCTCTTCAAGAGCTAGGGTCGCAGACTCACTGGATCAAACACATCAGTAAGAAGGAACAGATATTCAGGGGTTGATGCTCGTGCACGTGGCTCCACTTGACAATGCTCAAAGTCGCACCCCCGCTGCTAATAGTTGGGCATTAAATTTGTCATTGATATTACAATTGGGGTGGTATTGCAAACGATGAATGGAGAGGAGAAAATATAATGCTTGGGTTGAAGAAGCGTCACATTATATTGTTTGACAAGGGAGATATGCTTCTCTCGCACGAATAAGCCCCTTCTAAAGATGAGGTATACCCTACTTTTGCTATAACTTAATTCGATAATTTATTCTTTGATTCTCTTTTCATGAATATCACAGCACACTTAGTCATGACAAAAAAATCACCTTCCCTTTTTTATGATAGTAGCTACGCTTTTCTTTCTAAAATTCAATGAAACGAAGGATAATGAATGGAAATTACCACATAAAGTATCAAAAAAGCATTTGATGACCACCAGTCTCTTCAATTGTTATTCAACCTGACAACAAGGTGGTCCCACGAATAATGTTCTACTTGGAAAGCAAATTGTTCCCTAGCTAGAATCTCATCGCCATCACACAGTATATTTAAACCTTGATCCTTCCGCTGTCCACATGTATCCTGTTCGTAGTCTCCACAAAGAGTTGTCTGAAAAAGAAGAAATCGCGTGCTCACAAGAATCACGTTTTTTGACAGATCCACAGCAGTAACCTCTCTCACGAAGAGTCCCACGGACGAAAAGCAACACGAAGATGCTTAGGAATGTCGAAATAGCAAATTAGGAGATTCCACAGGCCTCTCATCCACCCCCTCTTCTTATTCAAGTCCACCAACTTGCTCTAAATCGTCCTTCAATTTTTGTCAAAACTTTTTTACATCAACTTTATATCCATTTCTACAACCTTTGCAATACAGTAAATTATGTCTTAGTATGTTCATAGATGTATATAAAATAACGTAATGAAATTTAAGAAATGAAATAATAATAATAATAATTAATTACCTTTTTATTTCATAGAGACATTCAGAACTTATAATGATCGTGGTATGAATTTAAAAGAGTTTCAATTATTTAAAGATATAAAGATTAAAGTTGAGTAAACCTCAAAAGCAAAATGAATTATTCTATATTTTATACAGAAATTATATTGTAATAATAGACATAATTCAATAACTAATTAATATGACTTATTGATATTATGTTTTTGCTGATTCATTCTTTTTATCGTCTTGTTCTTCCAAAAATTTATCCCATTTGTCTAAACGAGCTTCAATTTCAGCGTCTGTTTCATGAATTCTGAAACACAAAAATGAGAATTACTTTATCATCAACAAATATAGATGGCAGCGCTGTATTATATTACACACATATCATGTGTCGGTAAATTAATACTATCTGTTGGTAAGATAGGAAATACTATATTTTTACTAACTTGTATTTAGTTTTTCCGTCCCATATTTCGGCGGTAATTTTTCTCTGACCAAACCAACGTCCATTTAGGAGCTGAATACATGCTTGAGCCTCATCAGGATTACTAAATGTAACTTGGGCAACACCTTCAGGATGTCTCTATAATAAAAATAATGTATGACAATCAATACAAACAAAAGTAATATCAGGTAATTTAATAAACAATAAAACTTTGCTCAATTGGGCATTAAAATACAAATGAAATCACCAATTTATTCTTTGATTAAAGAAGCAATTCTTTTCTTTCAACGAAGATTATGGATTTAGCACAACTGTGCTCGTTAAGAATGCAGCATTGAACACCTTTGATAGCAAGTGAGGCGAGAATAGAATTAAATGGGAAGTGAGGATGAGCATTTGGAAGGCAAATAAATCACTCAAAAGGGTGACCTGATCCTATAAATTCGTCTCGAAACACTCCCAGTCATGTCGCGCTTCAGCCATGAATCTACTCAATGTCAAAGTGCATTCTATCCTCTATGTTATCCTTACTTACTCTTTTTTCACCCCAACATCCAAGTCCTCGCGAAAAAATGTAGAACAAAAATGTGGTTTATTAGAAGACCGTTTCAACTCAATTGTAAAAAAACATAATAATAAAATTCGGCCATGAAATTTTACTATGTCTATCAAGCCATATCAAGATTAAACAGCTTCGATGATTTCATCACCCCAATCAAAGCAAAATAAAAATATAAAAATGTCATAAAAGAGACAAATTCATCGGTAGCGTCAATATTTTCGTGAGTGAACACATAAAATAATTAAGATATTCGAGAGGATCAATTAGAAGGGAATTTTTTTATGAACATATCATCAACCTACGTCTGAAGAGCCTGGAGAAAGATATTCTAATCAAAAATGTCCCATATTCAACTGAACTCTAGTACTTTTCACACCATTATTCATTACAAAAATCATCTTATGTACTTATGCTTACTTCACTTAGTCTTGTTTGATCTCCAACTTAACGCCCACGCATATATGCAAATAAAAAGAGAAAGATCTAGTTTTTAAAAATAGAATACAATCAAACTTACGTCATAGATCGTAACCTTCTTGACGTCACCACACTTGGCGCATTCAGAACGAATATCCTGTTGGTACTCCAGAATAAGAGTGACTTCTTTGTCAAAATCCTCAGGAGTGAACAAATTTTTGATAATGACGACTCGCTCGCACTTAAGAGGTTCACCTGGTAAACGTTCTGGTCTCCAATCAAATAGCCTGCAAATCATGATAAGCATCATTATCATCATCATCATCAACGTTATAATCATAATTATTATTATCTTTATACAACTAAACCATCACCACAAGAAGCTTATTAGATATAAACTATTTCATTACACTATGCAGTACTTGGAAAGCATACTGTTAGTATTTTCTTACGCCTGGCATGCATTAATCCATCTCAGACTGAAAGGAGCATTATGATGTGCATCTTGAGTGGCTCTTCATAACGCATGAACTAGCAAAACTGAAGCGCATCCAATGACAATATACATTTCTAGCCCTAATGCATTGTATTGTTCTTATTAGCATAATATTAACTACCCTCTTGTAGACGATTAAACTACTTAAACCATTTAGGTATGATTGAAATGTCACTGCTTAAGCGCTTAGTCAACTATTATCGACCATGAAAGATCATTGATATGCAAGGGATTGGTCTTATACTACCATCATCAACTCAAAGGTATAATCAGAAACAATTTTAGATGTTTACTATCCGTGATTATTTACGCCTTCAATTAGGTATGTCATACCAACTATGAACAAAAACATTTTATTTTTAATATTCAAGAACACGGTAAATTGGGTGATGCAAGCTTCTTACATAAATGATTTTTATTTCGTACTTATTTCAATATTTTGTCGTTTCAACAAGATTTTTTATGGATTTTTAGGTAGTACAGAAATATTCCAGTATAAATTTTCGTAAGGATTAGATGTACAGCGATATTGATGATTTTGTTTTTAATAATAATTTTTAAATTGATATAGGGATTATGTATTAATCTTTTTTATGATCTGAACAGAAAGAATTTTTTAGTGACAATATTAATTTCCTCATCATTCTCAGAAGTTTACCAAAATTTACTTGACATTGACAAATCAAAAGAAAAATAGAGAAATAATTTGTTTGTTCTTATCAGAAAAGCCTACATTTTATGATATTTAAAGTTAAATATTAATTCTTTTAATTTTGTTGAAAAAAACCTTTCTACAAATTATATAATCTAAGCTAATATTTTATTATTCATTCATGTAGATTAAAAAAAAGATTCAATTATAATAATTATATATATATTAATTATATGAATTAAAATAAACAATAAATTTCTTTAAAAAACGAATTAATTTTATTAATAAGTACTTTTAAACTTTAGTTTTTCTTTGATTCAATAATAATGTTTAAATAACAATTATTTTTAATAGTTATGTATTCAGCAATTAAACGAACATATAATTATTTTGGCAAATAAGTATCATCAACAGGTGATTACCAATCATATCTAATTTAAGTAATTAATAATTTTATAACAACATTGCGTAAAATTTTATTACCAGGAAATATTTTTAAAATTTTTTGTATTTCTTTCTACACGTGCGTATACATCAGCTTTTGAGAAACTGATAAATTATCAAAGAAGTTAAAATAATAAATAAATGGATTTACTAAACAATGTTTAATTGACATTATCTCAAATTAAACATTTAAAGCGCTAATCGGGATTATAGTATTTATACAGTATTGACATGATATAACTTTTTTTCGTTTGAAAAAAATATTGAAAGACGTGAATAATATATATCTTCCTTCCCATTACTCTAGTTAAAAACACTAATTATATCAAATAAGTTAATGTTTGATCTGCTTTTCCAAGATTAATTAATTCATTGAAACTGCAAAAAAGCATACGTTTACTTGATCACTTAATTAAACCGACATTACACTATGGAAGTACACAACATCAAAAAATGTTGAAATTGCTGTCATTCTAAATTTGACTGCAATGTTTCTTGTGATAACAAGATAACAACAATAATCGATCTAAAGTTGATCGTTTTTTTTTTTTAATAATTATGTAAATTTTTTATTGTTATATGCAAGTTCTTGACTTTTCTTATTGCAAGTTATAAATTAACTACTGCTCGCCCACGATGAATTGAACATTTTATTTTCCTAGATGGTAATCAAGCATTCTACGTGATGATTCAATTCAATACAAGAAATACCTTCCGCGAGTAAAATCAAAAAGAATAAAACTTTAAAATTTCTATGTGAAACTACAAATATATGTTTTAATATTATCATTATTTTTTTTACTTTCATTTAAAATTGCAAAATCGTGAAGAAGTTAAGACTAAAATTGGTTGTTAAAAAAATTATGCAGATTGATGTGGTCTACTGTCATGCTTTGGCAGCTTCCGGCTTGTATCTCGTGCCTTTCGATCACATCTCAGTAAATAACTGGCCTCGTTCATGCCCTGAAGACAAACACCGAGACCAGCAGTCTCATCCAAGCATTTTCAAGCTGATGTATCAAAGCTTGCGGTTCTTTCAGTAAATTCCACTAACGATGAACTCTCATAAATATATATGTATAAGTAATAAAATAGAAGTCCACAAGAATTTTCTCTGAACTAGATTTTTTCAAGATCTTTGGTAACATCCAGTGGTCTTAAGTAACTATACATAATATCACTTTTTACTTCTACCTGATGAATTATTGATACCTTATTCATGCTTTCTTTCATATACTGTTTTCTCTTGATCATTTTTCTAATGTGACTACATGCTTGTACATATGTAAATAAAAAATTCACAATAAAAATAATTATGCACTGTGTGAAAGCTTGATGTTGTACAAGGGTCTTCCAGCAAGGTGTGTCCGGGATTAAAAACAGGCCCATCACTTTTCTTACATGTTTGATATTTTTTGTTACCAAGTCACTTTGATTGGTCAGAAATTTCGTACAATTCTTCACACGTCATAATAAGATATGATTCATGACGTAGTAGAAAACCTTCTGCCAAGTAAACTTGAACTCAATATTTGGTCTTCCCTTGAAACTTTCTTTAGCTGCCTACCGGTTTTAAAAGAAATCGTGACTTTAAATGATTAATTGAATTTGATAAAATTAAAGTCACTAAAATTGTGGATTAAATGAAGATCTTTTTTCATAATAAATAAATTTAATTATATTTTATGCCAACCTTATTGTAATTTATAACTGGATAATAATAATATGCAACTCGATACACTTCAGCAAGCCAATAATAAAGTGTGACTAACCTACTTTATAGCAGTCATGGATAATTTTTTCTAATAGCATTTGAGGTAGTTATCCAGTTATTTTATAATGATGATGAACTAACTATGAAGTGCAATATTTTATTTAAATTATAGTTAACGTTTTAAAAAAATTATTTCAAACAGTTTATTTATTACTTTTCAACAAAATCAGCTTATAACTGCTTCAAAAAAATATATCTTCACATTAATGGCAAAATACTCCATAAAAAGTAATGTTTCATTTTATTTGAAGGCTATGATCAATTTAAAAATGATCAAAAAGCAATAAAGATGATCACTAGGTACCTCTGGAAAAATTTTTAAGAAAAATAACCCCAATCGTTCTTGCACTACCTCGATTTTTAGCTACTTCAATTACAGTTAGAAAGATTGCTATATAAACATGCAGGAAACCTCAGGCGAAATTCTTGAAGAAACTAGATATTTACAGAACTTCAGACATTTGTTTTCTTGATGCAACAAAAACTTTTGCAATAAAAATGAAAATCTACATATTATTAGGAGTGTCGCATGATTGTTAAAACCAAATAAGGCAAAACCAGTCAGATTTTTCCATGTTGTGTAAGGTTTTGTCAAAAACGCTTGAATTAATCAACGTGAGGATCCTTGAATTCAGTGACACGAAACTCTCACGATAATCAAGATAAGTAATTGGGCTGTAGGCCAGCTGAATAAATAAGTTGGTAAGCGTGTTCATTCCGTGTAAGGAATCATTTGCATGCACTCTCCTTTTACCAAACATGGAGACTCGCGATTTAATCGTACCGAGACCAAGAATACATGCAAAAAGCAAAACATATGAATTCAAAATTAAAAAATGTTAGTATGCGTGCTGGTTGGTCAGTATCTACCAGTCCAAACTGAAGCATTGGTGAATGATTAGTTTGCACAGCTGCTACTTTTCACGAGAATCGCCAACGCCAAGCAGTCTGGCTATCTCCATTAATGTTTTGTAACTCATCTTCTACAGATCATCATCATCATCATGCAAGAGCGTGCAACACGCGAGCCAGGTACTCAAATTCCTTGAAGTCTCAAATTTTACTTTTCTCGTTGGACAGTCAAGGAGTCTACCAAGTTTGCTGTCAAGTTGCTTGACAATTCTTATATGAAACTTACTTTTCTTGAATTTTCTTCTGCCTTTCTTTATCCTTTTTCCTTCTCTTTGGTTTCAATGCTGGATCATATTGGCCCTTAAGCTGAAACTTAGCACGTTGAACTGAAAGTGTCTTTCCTCGGAGTTGCGAACCATCTAGAACTTTCAAAGCAAGCTCAACAGATTCCACCTGAAACATTGATATCAAAATGTTAATCTCTAAAGTATTCTAGTGCTTACTGACAATAAGTTTGTAATTTTATTTTAGTCTTCAAAAAAAAATATGACAACTATTATCAAGAACATTGATGATGTAGTTGATGATTAAAAAAGTTTTCCTCTAGAAATTTACTCTTTTATTATTTATGTAATGAGTAGTAAAGGATTTTTAAACAATTGTTTTAAGTAACTGTTTAACGATTCTATATTATTTTAACCTCAATTCTTAAACGAACAATATTTTTTACGCACAATAGATTGATTGACACGTACAGCAACAATAAAGCAATTAACACAGGCTGGAAAAATTCATGCTTAATAATCCGCACTTCCTGACTAGTAAAGTTATTGTACAGGCAGTCAACGATTATCATATATTAAATTCAAATTTTCTGTTGTTCTTTGACAACACCAAGAGTACTTTTTTTTCAAAAGAACTTGACGTATAACCATCAAAGCAAGACTCAAAGAAAATAAAATAAATTCAAAAATGATATTTTCTATAAACAATTCAACCTATAGAACATTCCAAGCATCGTCTGCAAAAAAAGATAGACGAGTTGGTTTCGTAAACAGCGATAAATTATTTACGACCGTTTGGGTTTTGCCATTTTGTGGACTGACATACCGCAAGGTTTCCTGATGGTTTCTACGAATAGCAAATAGGGTCCCGTATATGTAAAGTCTGGTAGCTGGATAGCATAAAACCAAGAAAGATGAGAAGCTCGCGGTGTCTCGAGCAAAATAGCGATTGCTAAAGCGCATGTCAAGCTTATATTCTCTGGTAAGTTTTATCCACTATGAAATGGGGACGTGGCAAGAGTGACGAATGCCTAAATATGCACTTTACTGGCGCCGACTTGGATGATGATGCAATACTATAACTTCCGTCTAACTTATTCCAACTATAAGTGCATACATATCGCACTTTTTATTTCCATCACGGAATTAATTCGCTGCTTATCTAGTACTCTTGAACGACTTCAAGCCTCTCAAGACACTTTTACTAGATAATTTCAATCCAATCATTCCTGAATCGAAATTTCTTTTTACTCTTTAAAACTAATCACACTCTTATTCGATTTATTTTAGACTAAATATATTATCAATCTGTGGAACATCTATTTTATTATATTTACCTCTTTAAGTATTTATTCTTATCTATGAATGAACTTCAGACTTTTCTAATACTATACTAATAGTCTTATAAATACAAACAAAATAAAAGATACAAACTATAGGCTCAATAATAAAACGACAAATATTTTCTTTATAATCAAACACTGACACTATGAATAAAATTGTTTTCTTTTGTATTTATTTGTACTTTTCATCATTATTTATAAAAATTCTTAATAGTATAGTTAATAGTATAATAAAATTTGTTTAAAAACAAAATAATCATGTACATCAAAATAATAAAATCAAATTATTTAATAAGATTTTGGTTTTCATCCAATTTTTGAGAAATAGGTTGATAGAAAATTTCAGCACCATGAGCGACCACACTTAACGTTCCACGTTTATCTAACTCATTAGAATATTCAGACCTTTGATAAATTTGATAATTCATTAAAATTTTGGAGATTGCCAATTTGATAAATAGAAGTCCCATCTTTGTACCAACACACATCCTTGGTCCAATCCCAAAGCCTATGAAACCAAGAGGCTTTTGACCATCAGCGAAACGTTCCGGGTTATAGACTTTATGGTCCGGGAAGTATCGCTCATCTGAATGCATGCCGTAGAGGGGAATGAATACTGATACACCCTTTTCTAACACATCGTCAGTGTTTGGAATATGATAATCTTGTCCAGTTTTTCGATCAACGATGCTAACTGGAGGATATAATCTAACTCCTTCATGAATACACTGCTCTAAATATTGCATTTTATTAAAGGCTTCCATGGTCCATCCGTGTTTCATGATGATTTCTGTGATCTCATTTCGTGCACGATTTTGGATTTCATGATTTTTTGCCAGTTGTAGAAGGGTAAATGATGCAGCAGTGGCACTTGATTCTAGACCAGAGAAAATCATCGTAGCCAGAGAAAAAAGATTCTCTCCATCAAATTCTATTGAAAAAAGAATTAATCCAACGTTAATCAAAACATTTTATAGAAATGTATATTATTAGTAAAAGTTCAGATACTTACTATACAATGGAGATGGTTCAGAATTTTTTAAACTCACTAGAGCATCAAGATAATCATTACGCGGTTGTGTTTGGCCTGTATATCGAGCATTGAATTTTTCCCAAAAGATTTTCATAGAATGTTTGAGTTTAAATAAGACTAGGAAACCAAAATATTTGACAATCTCAGGCATAAAAAAGACAGTAAGCAAAGCTCGCATCCGAGTTGCTCCATGAAACAGGCATAATGCTAAAAATTCAATTATATCAATAAAAATAATCTAGATTAATTCACTGCATGTTATTATTTAATAATTACGACTTACCTTCTTTGGTGTAGTCAGAGTCTGGATTAAGAAAGGAATTACTGTGTGTTTCGAGTGTAAGATTAGCAATCGAATCAATTGTATGTTTGAATATCAAATCTTGAATGTCGATTTGTTTCACATTATTTCCTTTCTTGACGTCTGGTTGATTTTCCAGATATTCTACCATTGATTCGGAGGTTTCCAACATCAAAGGGAACATTCCTTTCAATTTTCCCTTTGTTAACAATGGAGAAATTTTGGTTCTCAAAAACTTCCATGCTGGATTATTTATGCCAAAGAGATTTAACATTCCTAAACTATCTAATTGTGAAGATCCTGCGAAATGACGATCACTAAATATTTCAAAATCTGTCACGAATAACTGTTTAGCCACTTCAGGGTCTCTTATTAAAAGACAGGGTTTATGAAACATATAAAAACCAATATAAGGTAGTTCAGGTTTCGCTGAATGATAAAGTTCACTCATATGGAGTCCAGGAGCTGTACGTGCCAAAATAGCTTCCTTCACATGGCCGAAGATGATGTGTGGATTCGGCAGTTGTTCTATCCCTCGACGAGTCCAATATGATAATTTATAGCGAGAATAAAAATAAAAAATTACCACAAAGATTGAAATTATTATAAAAAATGTCAGTGTCAGATAGACACTTAATAACTCCATGGTCAAACTTTAAAATAATTCGTCAGTAATTAAAAAAAAATCTAAAATATCTTTGAAATAAAATTAACACTTAGAGAAACATCTAATTACTTGTACTAGAAGATAGTGACTATTCAATTATTGTTGCTACTTCAATAAGAGCTTAGACATTTGAGGTAGTCAATATAAAGACTGAATGTGTATTTTTCATTATATAGACAGTGGAACCTCTATTTTATTATATTTGAGGGCTAAATCGTTCCGAAAATTTCGGAATAACATAGAAAGTGGTTATCAAATTCTTCTTAATGCGCATGTGCGAAAAAACAAAGATAGTTTAACTATTTAAAAGAAAGATAGACTAAATATAAAGTAGTAGGGACAGTACTTCCCCTCATTGAGGAGAAGACGGAACAAACATCAAGGTGAAAAAAATAGAGGTTCCACTATATAGTCAATCGTTCTTATTATTATTGTTATTATTTTTTTTTAATTAAATTTGAATGAATTTATATATCTCAAATACTTTATTTGTTATTGGTACAAACAAACATCTTGTTTTGAATATAACTTTGGACAATTTCGATAAGGAAATTATTGGCAACATCGAGGATCAGTGCTTCGTTTAAATTATATTTTCGTATTTATAATCTTTAATCTACATGAAAGATTAGGCTATTTCTAATATTATTACTTATTATACTTTAAATAAGAAAATTTCTGATATTTGTCATCGTTAAATGCATATGTATATTTATGCATATTTTTCAATCTTTGCATATCTCTTTAAGGGTGACAGCATGTTACGATCAATCAAACTTTCCATTTTTTTCGAAATATATGTATGCTAATTACCATAATACTTTCTAATGAGTATAAACAAAATGGAGTAAACATAATACAATATCTGTGATGAAGAGTTATCATTAGTGTATTCAGATTATATTTTTATCTAAGTCATACGATTTTTAATCCTAAAATTTATCTTTAATTAAAATTTTCATTACTGTTTAATAAATAGTGATAAAATTTTTGAGATTTACTTTAATTATAAAAGAGTGACAATATTGAAGTAAAGAGGTGTGTAGTTGTTATTTTCATTACTTGATTAGAAAAGCAATTATTTATACAAAATTTCTCATAAACCATTGTGTCATCTTTCTGTTTTTGTTAATCTTAAAGAATAATTAATAATAACTCTTATTAAAAAAAATTTATTCTCAACAACCATTATTTTTAACCTACTATTAGGGAATTATTGAAATCGGATTGATTTATTAAATTCGTAATTTTTTCATATCTTTAGGCTGTGAGACATTTAAAAGCATAGTAGAAGGTTTAAAAAAAAAATCGGTGTACAAATATACGTACGTTAGGTTTTCTTTTCATTTTCGAAAGTTCAAGAACCACTGAAGATATCGACTCCTGACAAATTTCGTTCGAAAAATAATACAATGAAAAAGATCCGGAAGGAGTTTTAACAAATACAATTCAACCATTTTTTTGATAGCAAAAAGACTGTAAAATAAGTTGGATAAAAAAAACATTTGAAATAAATTTAACTTATTAAGTAATTAATAATGTTGAAAACTGGGTCAATACAATATCGTTGTTTTTGATTTCACATAACTCTGAACAATCATTTAATGTTGATTAAATGATTAAAAATGGTTCCAATTAATTGAATTATCATTACTATACTTATATTTGATAAATAACCCTAAAATATTGCTATAAATAACTTTATGTAATTAATATAATATTTGAAGTGAAATCAGCCTCTTTAAAGTGAACTGAATAGACATATTATTAAAGTCAATTAAAGTTTGATTAAAATAATATATTGTTATCGTTAATCTTGTAATTGCAAGCAAAATGTTCAGTACAATCCCGAGTAAAAATGATCAGTTTTCGGGTGCATCTAAATAAGGCCCGATTCAAACCTAAATTATTTTTTAGGCCCACTGAGCGCTCAATTCAAGCCCAAAATTATTTAAAAAAAATTATTATATAAACTTATTATTGAATGCTACAGATTTACAGTTGCAATAATTTATTGTTATTATTGTAGAATATGTTCATCGAAAATGGGCTTAACTTAGGTGCATTATGGGCCTAAAAAATATTTAGAGACTTGCTTCGGGCGCGTTGTGAGCTTGACAAATATTTTTAGGCTCTATCTGAATTTAAGTGTGTATTGAGCTTGTTTTGGGTACTGAAAAGATTTTTAAATTAAAATTGAGCTTTAATTAGATGTGTTTTTTTGTTGCTTGTATTTCAGGTCTCTTTAAGCCTATTTAGTTTTACTCAGAATGTCAAAGATCATTCACATTGTACTATTTCTATCGTGTTAAGGCGCCTCGAGCGGAAAAAATATAGGTATATAAAAGTATATAGACCTTTGCGCACTAGTTTTAGGCAAATAAGTAGATAAAATAATGAAATACCTACAGGAAAAGATTCGCGCAACAACAATCTATGGAATGAAACGAGATGAGGACGATTGGTTGAATAATAAGCAAAATATCCGAAATTAAAAGTTTAAAGCGATTTGACAGATTTTGGTCGGCCATATGTAAACAAGTAGGAGTTAAAAAAATGAAAAACAATCTGTCAATTCACTTTAAACTTTTAATTTCGGATATTTTGCTTATTCTTCAACCAATCGTCCTCATCTCGTTTCATTCCATAGATTGTTGTTGCGCGAATCTTTTCCTGTAGGTATTTCATTATTTTATCTACTTATTTGTCCACATACTTTTATATACCTATATTTTTTCCGCTCGCGGCGCCTTAAGATATCAAAATTTCTGTATAATTCGATATTTGGTTTTGTTCAATCTGATTTTTCTTATTATGAGACTTAACTTTAGATTACATTATTTGTTCCAATCAGAGATCCATCCCTATCCCTATCTATTGGCTGCAAAATAGCGCATAAATAAAATATTCTACTGTTTATTGAATAAATAAATAAATTATTCGCTTACAATAAGAAATTACACCACATTGAAATATTTGTTACAATTTTATTTTGGAACAAAAAAAATTTATTTTTAATTGAGACATATTTTTACTGTTTTCAAAAAATATTCACAAAGTAATAGTCATAATAATGATAGTTTAACGAAAACATTTTTATTTTTTTTTGAAATCATCTAATTGGCTTATAACCTGCACATATTGTTGCTAATATACAATATAAATAATACTAGAGCAATAAGAAATATTTTGACTCGTATATAGTATCGAAAAAGTTTTTAAATTATGAGACTTGTTGCCTTTTGTTCGTTTGTAGATATACACATATACTTGATTTCTAGCAAGAGTCACGTTCAACTACCCACGCGATACCTTGACAGGCAAAAGTTTGTACACCAAGTAACGATGTATATCTGGAAGACTGGGAAAAAGAGAGTGCAATAAACCCCTCGGAAGAGATAGAGAAGTGAAGACGAGTCTTGAATGAACCTACGCAGACCAGACGGCACACCCTCGTTCAAGGATATGTTGCTGCTCATTTCTCTTTTTATTTCTTCCAATTTTTTCTTCTCACGTGAAGACTACGCACATCGATCGCCCACATACCAATCGTCTTATCCATGTGAAAAATAGTGGCCAATAAAACTAAGTGAAATTTACTATCAATAAAAAATTGACGTCTCAAACATACAAAAGAGGTGATTTGCTTCAACGTGTCCTTACTTCATGTTTGAATGATACGACCTTGACGTATCTATAAATAAAAGTATCCATGGTGGTGAAAAAAATGTCATATTCAATAAAATGTTACTACTGATACTATATATTCTTGAATTAAATGGATTTTTCTATCAATAAATTTTAAGTGACATTTAAATGCAGCAAATGGAATTCAGTTGGGTATATCTATAGGCAATGATTGACATGACTATTACAGAGCAAATTGTACTATTGTAATGAAATCTGTCTTCTGGGTATAATTGAAACAGTTCTTCAGCATAATTTTTTTTCAGATTTTTTGCTATGACTAAATGAAATAAATTGCTTTTATTCAAAGCATGGAAAATTCCTTTTTTTTAATTTAATCATGTTGATATACAAAGTCAACATTTGCAGGTTATAATATTATTTTTACCATCACTTTATTTTGACACACTTTGAAATTATATAATCTCAAATTAGGATTATAAGTAAAGCTGTTTAGATAAGTGTATCAAAATTTTTATTTCATTTTATTTTACCGTCATAAACATTGCAAAACAACTTTTCGTCAAAATCATTGAATAATAAAAACATTAATCTTTTCTTACCCTCTATACATCTTTAAGTAATTTTTCTTTCAAATCAAAATGATACTCATCAAAATATCAAATTGCTTATTCATCTCTACTATTGTTAATAAAAAAAAAAATTGCTCTGAATAAAAAAATTTATAATAAGACAAAATGAGTCATTTTCTTCTTGAGAATGTCACATCTAATTGGGAAGTATCATTTTTTCACTAAGATAAAAATCACTATAGGTATAAATCATACCTGACATCTATTAAAAATTCATAAAAGTTAATGATGTCGATGATTACTTCAACACTCTTAGACCAACTCTTTTCGTGTCTGATCAACATGCTTCCTTACCTACTTATTCCTACTGCTACCAATACTCATATTTATTTACAATAATATATATTTATCAATATTTTTTTATTTTACTTCCAACAAAACCTAATGATCCTTAAAAAGATCATTCAGAATCCTGAAGGTCAAGATTTTAATCTTGACTAAAAAATTTTTTCACCTATTTTTTCGTACAAAAGACTTCCAGGATTAAACTCAAGATGATGATTTATCTAATCGTCCTTGTCCTTGTGAAGCATACAATAGACATATTATAAAGTGATAGAAATATTTTCACGTAGAAAAATGACTGTGCTAACGATATGAATAATGAAATAACCATGCAACAACTAACAATTATGAATGTGATTGCTTCAATTTTAGAATTTGTCACGAGCTTGTAATATTCTGAAGAATAAAAAATTTTTGTAATTATACAAACAGCAAGCGGGCATCTCATTTAACCTGGAAACGTCACTTCCATAAAGAGAGCATGAAATCACTGAGTAAGAGCTCAGCAAATAAAATACCAAGACAGATCAATTAAATTTACTGTCGTCGGGACGATGTATTAATCGACTTTTAAATGTCTATTACTTGTTTATAGCTACAGTGTCTCTGTTTCATATGATATTTCTTTAT